GGGCGAGATGCGGTTTGTGCCGTGTGGATGTTGAAAGGGACACTCACTGGTAACGAACAGCAGGAATCGCCTTTCTCGTGACAACTAGACTTGTACACTCCTGACATCCCCTAACTTCCGTATCCCTATTCCCTTCCAACGGGCCGAGGGGGCCCTGCCCTGAGGAGGTTATACCCCGCGGATTCTATATAGATAGGACTGGAAGGTTCATATAGGAAACTGAACTTATCAAAATCCGAGGTAAGGCAACGGGTTTTGGTCCCGTTACTCGGAGGTTCGAATCCTTCCGTCCCAGATCGCGCTGGCAAATTCCACCATTTCTCCAGCTTGAATCGAAGCTGAGTACGAAGCTCTTTTAGCAGGGCTGGATAAAATTCCTGTTTGATAATAAGGTTCGATCTTAAAGAACAGAACAAACGGAATCGTACATAATAGAACAAACGGAATCATACAGAACAGAATTCAAATCATAAAAGCACATTTCACATAACAGATATCAGATTCCCGGACCCTGACAGAATCTCAACGGATTCTGGCCCCTTATGCCTCCCTTCCCTGACATTGACAGAATCTCAACGGATTCTGGACCCTTATGTCTCCCTTTGTGCTTAAAGCACCAGAAAATAACAGATATACATAATTTTCAGAACAGAACTTGCTTTCAGATAATTTTCAGAACAGAACTTGTTTTCAGATTTCCTAGACCCAGACAATGGAATCACAAAGGATTCCAGCCCCTTATAACTCCCTTCTGATATCACAGCATATCAAAACATTTAAATCAGAAAAATCAAATACTTCAAAAAATTTGTCAGCAGCATAACGGCAGTATACGGAATTTCCACAAAATTCACAAATTCAGAAAATCACCAAATTACCAGAAATCGTGTAAAACAACGTTACAAAGCTTTACTTGTACTGAAGCAATATTTTTCAATAGCTAGATAATTTTCTATTCGATAAAAAGCGCACAGAACTTAAAAAATCCGGTAAAAACTTTCCAGAAAATACTCAAATCGTACAAAAACATCAATTCAATAACATACCAAAAGTTACGCGGTAAAAGTTTCGTCAATACAAAGATATACACGTTTTTCGGTAACAAAAACACAAAACTGAGTAGAAAAATACCAAAACTCGAAATCAGAAATAGGATTCGGATTCCTTACTGCGAGACGAACAATTCTTTCAACAGCGGCATCGGACGAAAAGCGCAGCGCGGCCTCCAAAATCAAGCTTCTTCTTTCTCTTTCCTTCTCTTTCTCTCTCCATCCTTTTTCTCTCTTCAAAAATATCTCAAAATATCTCAAATCCTCAATTTACAAGCAGGATCGTCACGGACGATTCCCATTCATCTCGGGACGACCTCCTCTGTACTCAAAACGTTCAGACGAAATTAATTCCAATTTTCTTCGTCCCTGGACGAAACTCTCTGTTCGGTTCGTCCCGACGGTTCGTCCCGACCCTTACAGGTTCGTCCAGATGAACCATACAGATTTCTTCACAATTTTCTTCAGTTCGTCCCATACTAAGGCTAGTTCGTCCGGACTAACAGCATTCACAAAAATGGACTTTTTAGGGGTTTTACAATCTACCCACCTTAAGAAAAATGTCATCCTCGACATTTCTCTTAAGGGTTCAAATGCAAAATCAAAATAAAACAAATCCGTTCAATCAAAACGTGAACCAAATAAGAAAATCGTACAAATCATATCGAAATCAATTAAAAATCTCGTTGAATACAATAAGTTAAATAAACTCATACAAGTCATATTTTCAGGCACTTGAGAAACATCTTTCACAGTTTTCAACTGTATGTTGTCAGTCTGAACAGGTCCTGGTCCAAGTCCTGGATATTGTACCATTCTGTGTCCATAGGCACCACATCGAAAGCATTGTCCTGTTCTCCTATAACACTGCCCTATATGTCTCTTCCCACAACATACACAAACATTAATAGTTTTTATTCTGCTACTTTCACAATTTTTCTTTTCACCACTTTTCTTAACACTACGTCCAAAACGTTTTGCTAATTTATCGCTCACCATTTCAGTGACTATATCAACAAACTTTTTCATATTTTCAGATGTCATAGAAAAGTCAGTAGCAAATTCAGCTTTCTTTCCCTTCTGATTCATTGGCCTAATCAATACAAATTCATTCAAATAAAATCCATAGGGAAAAATAAAAAAATCAAACACATAAAGCAAAACAAATCAAATAATGCAATCGTCACTGTAACTCTGGATATAAGCAAATCCTTTCACTAACCTAGCTCTGATACCAATTGTGACGTCCCAGACATCTATAGCGAAAGGATTCGTTTGACATTCTTTTTCTTCTTCTCTTTTTTTTTCTCTCAGATCAATACAGACATCCAGAAATGATAATTGCATTACAGAAAATAAATACATCAAAATACTATAATTCACATTTCGACATTTCATATACACAGTCCAAAAGAACATGTACAATAGCCACTCGGGCTACAAAACAGTATATGAACCAAAAACTACGAAAAACTACACTAGCATCTGAAAGAAGCTTCACGCGGGAGGTTCTGTACCTGAAATCATTAACCACATATAATGAGCTTAAATAGCCCAGCAGGTCACCAAAGCCTACAACTGAAATCAAAGCATGATACGGAAACAATATGCATGTCAATCAATCAAATCAATAACAGTCACTTACACATGATCATTGAATCGATGCAGGTACAAAAATCAGTACATAAATAGTAATCAATGCAGTAACGGAAATCAATATAGAAATGGTCAAATCCTCAATTGACATTTAAAGAATCAATAAGCAGTATAAAAGTCCGTAAAGCTCAATGAATCAGTACGTGCATCAAATCCCTACAGAAGTCATCTTATCTATCCCGTCAGTCTATAACATCAGTCGAGACAATGAAGTAGAATTGTATCACAGCATACCAACATACACTTGCAAACACCAGTTATTTATCACTTGCTCAATTAATCATATGCAACCCAGAAAGGAGCGGAAGTTTGAAGGGCGAACCCTAGACACCTTTGTGGAGCAACGAAGTCGGGCGGCAATAAAGGAGCGGAAGGACAAGAGCGTGCAATCTCTTCGCCCCCCGAGAAGCAAGGAGATTGAACACCAACAATGAAGAGAGAAGATGAAGGGCGAACCCTAGACACCTTTGTGGAGCAACGAAGTCGAACGAATGAGTGTAAGTTTTTTTTTTCCTTCTCCAAATTTCATCCTTTTATTGTTTTGAATTGTTCATGTCTCCGAAGAGGTGCGTCATTTTTGAGGTTAGGCCGGCGAAGGCGGTTGCTTTTCATGCGTTCAATTTTTTTCTTTTTTTTTTTTGTTTTTTTAATTAGTCAACATTTATGTGTGAAAAATATACTTTAAACTCTGGTGGTCAATAAAAACTTCACATATTACCACATACAAGTAATACCTCCAAATCTTGAAAGCAAAAATCACTACAGTTAAATTCCAAATAATGAGTTGGATAATTCCTTTCATGATTTTTCAACTGCCAAGAAGCATAAGCAATGACTCTTTGATTCTGTATCAACACACATCCCAACCTGTTATATGAAACAGCATTATAAAACTGAAATCCATATGACCCTGAAGGAATAGTGAGCACTGGAGCAGTCGTTAAACATTGTTTTAATCTCTGGAAAGCATATTCACACTAAGCTGTTTATTCAAACTTCATTACTTTTTGAGACAACATGATAATAGCATAGAAATTTGTGAAAACCCTACAACAAATCTTCTATAATAGTCAGCTAAACCCAAAAAGCTGCTGACATCTATCACTATAGCAGGTCGTGGCCAATCAGCTATAGCTTGTACCATATGTTGATCCACATATATCCTTCCATCACTGATCACATGACCCGAAAATTTTACACTCTTCATTCAAAATTCACACTTAGAGAATTTAGCGTACAATTCATTTCCTCTTAATGCTAGCAATACAACCCTTAAGTGATATGCATGAATTTCTTCAGCTGGAGAGTATACCAGAATATCATCTAGGAACACAATTACGAATAGATCTAAAAAGGGATTAAAGATTCTATTCATGAGATCTATAAACATAGCAGGGGCATTTGTAAAATCAAAAGGCATTACCACAAATTCATAATGCCCATATCTGATTTGAATGTTGTCTTTAGTATATTTTCATCTCTAATCTTGAGTTGATGATATCCTGACCTAAAATCAATCTTAAAAAATATTGAAGCACCTTCCAACTGATCAAACAGATCATCTATCCTTGAAAGATGATATTTATTCTTAACAGTCAGCTTGTTCAATTCTCTATAATTTGTCCAGAACCTTAAGTTTCCATCTTTCTTCTTCACAAATAGTACAGGAGCACCTTAAGGTGAGGTACTAGGTCTAATGAAATTTTTATCCAGCAACTCTTGCAATTGATCTTTCAACTCCCTCAGTTCTTTTATTATCATTCTATAAGGAGCTTTAGCAATAGATTTGGCTCATGTCACCAATTCAATAGAAAAATCTATTTCCTTGCTTGGAGGTAAGCTAGGTAAATCATCTGCAAACACTTCTGGATATTCCTGTACAATTGGAATATCCTTCAGCTCTTTTCCTGCCTTCTTCTCCTCCTTAACATAGACCAAAAAGCTTTCATATCCTTTCCTCAATAAGTGATAAGCCTTTAAAGATGAAACCATAACAACGATTATCCCTCTATCCCCTCGAAATTTAAATTTTTTCTCTCCTCGCATTTAAAATATAACCTCCTTGTTATAATCTATAGTTACAAAATAACAAGATAACCAATCCATGCCTAAGATTGTATTAAATTCAAATAATATCAACATAATAAGATCTGCCTCTAAGTCCTCATCACATAAAAACTATAAGCAATAAGGCTGTAGATCAGTAAATAATACTAAAAAAACATTGTAAATTTTATAGTGATCAAAATGATGGGAAAGTTGAAAATACATTTAAAAAAATGGATAAAGATATACCGACAGATTCTTAGCCCGCCCAAGCCTACATAAAGCATAGTTTGAAATCATTTTTTCCCTTCTAGCTGTAAGTAATCCCTGGTGATAATGTTTGTACGTTTTAAAAAGATATCTGCTGGCCACATATTTCAGAAAAGAATCACCAACTGTTTCCAATGATTCCAGCGAAAATTCTTCTCTGCACTTTCTGGTTGTAATTGCTTCCAGCATCTATATGAAAAGCCAAGAAAAAATAATGATCAGCGAATTGAAAAACAAACACGCAAAAAATATGCAAGCATCCTAATGCCCTTGAACATTAGAAGAAAAGCCTGGGATAACAAAAAGAAAACTAATAGATAGGTAGATCATTAAAAAAATGAAAATCTAACTAATGGCACAAGAATAATATGTATTGTTAAGGAAAAATTATCAGTTATCAAACTTGCAAAATAACATTAAAAGAAAGCCACACTGTCAACATGATATTCTTAATGAGTTTGACAAAATTTTGAAATTTTGAAGATGTGGATCAAAAAAATTTTGAATTCTCATTATATTATGCTTGGCTAACTCACTCCACCCCTCTGGCAAAATACAGGACAGGTTCGAGTAAAGTAGGGGTCATGAAAATTGTCCTTGCCCATTCCCAAACCAGTAATTGTTTAAAGCAAATTTTATAAACGGCATTTGAAAAGGGTACAAAAAGACCAATAACATGAAAAACAAAAAAAAAAGGATATAAAGCAAACTACAAAACGATTGATAACTGACAAGTAGCTCCAATAACTAATAAATAAAGAATATCAAAGTCAATCGAATAGTAATTGTGCACTGCTTGAATCCTGGTAAAATTAAGAACATAGAGTTACTTTCTCTATTCCTGCTCCACCAAAAAACAGGATTTGAAGTCCTTATCAACTTATGCTTGATTGCTAGGAAAACTATGTTTGCTCAAGAAAAATGGCGCTAGGCATGTATCCCGCTCTTTGTAAAACCAGAAAAACGTCAATTTTAGATATCACAAGCTTTTCATGCGCCGCGACGAGACTTAAGTGAATTTTTCAAAGTCGTCAGAATTTAACGAAAGTAATTCTATAAAATTCTACACAAAATTTCGAACAAAATGATATATAGAACTTCTATGAAATTTTGCCAAGATTTGAAATTAAAAATCATGAAAGATTCATAATACCTAAACTACCCCTAGTGAATATTAAAGCGGATATATTTTAAGTGAGGGCAATTAAGACATTATGCATTAACCCTCCCACTCTTAATAGGGGACTGAAATTCATTCGATTCCTATTATTTCGTTCGGCCAAAACCGAACATAAGAAGAGGCGCGCGCTGAAGGGAGAGGAAGGCGTCAGGTAGGGCATCGGGCGGTGGTGGTAGGGCGGTTTCCGGTGGAACTTCTTCGGAGAAATCAAAGAGGGAAGTCAAAGGAAGTCTAAGGTACGTTCCTAAACCTATAAATCTTCATTTCCCATAAGATTTTTGGAGGAGAAAATTTTAGAATTTCTCCAAAAATTAATATTTTTCAAAAAGAATGTTAGGGAAGATTTAAAAACATTTTCTAATTATGAAATTTGTATTTTCCTCAATAAATCTTAAAGTTCAAAATTTAGGGTTTTGCCGAATGTTAATTTGTATGGAAAGTTCTTAACATGTATTATCCCAAATGATCGTATGGGGATTTTTAATAATAGAAATTAAGATTTTTCATGAAAATTTTATTTTTCTAATTTTATTTTAAGAAAAATCTGAAAAATAGAAATTATTTTGAATTATTTAAAGTAATGGTAAAGGGATTATTTGGATAAAATATGAGTTTAGACAAAATATAGATTTTTAAAATTGTTACATGCTTTGTGTTAAATTAGAGAGATAGAGAGGGAGAGGGAGAACTTAGAGTGGTTTAAAAAGAGAAGAAGAATTTTAATTTAGATTTATTTTGTAGATTTTTTTAAGAAGAAATTAATGCTCATAGGTGATAATCGTGGACCTCGAAAGAAAGCGTTTGAGCGGAGAAATCAAATCAAATCCTTTAAATCAAAGTAAGTACTGCCTTTGTTATTACAGTAACAATAATTGCTTCATGACAATTGCTTTTCTTAGTTGGCATGCATCAATCATTGTTTTCTTTTTGATTTCTCATTGTGATTGCTACATGATTTTCCTTATGAAAATCAATTGATCATGATAAATGTTAAACATAAAGATGTCAAATTATCTTATGTTATCATTATTATTTATTATATATTTCATTAGGATATGTTATGGATAAGATATATATATATATATATATATATATATATATATATATAGTATAGCATACTTGCATGTGCATGTTAAATAATGGAGCACACCCCCTTATTGTACTAGCTGGGGACGTTGTACTCGTGCACGTTAAAATGGTAAAGGCTATAGAAAAGGAAATTGTAAAGAAGTATCTTTATGGTACTAGACGATGAAGTACCTTTATTGTACTAGACGGTGGCTCCTGTGACGATTGTACTATATATGTACTATATATGAAATGAGAAAGTTACGAATATTGATATGATGAATGTAAAATGAATATGAAGGATATGGATTTATGATTTATGTGTATGCTTAATGTTATGTTTATAAAAAATAAATTTTATGTTATATTTAAAAGAAAAGTGACATTTAGCATATTACTCCATCTACCTTAAATTACTGTAGTTTGGAGGCATATTTTACTTACTAAGCTTTAACTTACTGTTAATTGTTTAAAAATTTTTCAGGTATAATTATTTTTATCATCATGAGTAGAAGGGATGGAAACGTGTACCGTAGGAGAGGCGCGCCGGAAGAATGGTAACTATATGAGTCTTAATAATTTTATGTTTGTGTTTTCGAATTTAATGTTTTAGTGGCTCTTTCAAATGTTATGGTAATAGATTTAGAGATTTGATGTTTTAGTCTATTGTTTGACCTCCGTTCCAACCTCATTTATACGAGCTTACCAGGCCGGGTCGTGACAAAAGTTGTATCAGAGCAAAGGTTTAAGAATATTGATCAATATGAAAGAGCCAATAGGATGATTATATAGGCTAGAGAAAGTATATGATATGTGTGTTATAGACTACTAATTTTATTTTATCGCATTATATCTCAGAGCCATGGATCCTAAAAATTATGAGGGAGATACCAGTCGTAATAGAGCCTTCGAGTAGTAGCATCAATGTTACTATAGAATCATTTACACAAAAGATGGCAATAATGACCCAAATGATTAAGAAAACTCAGACCCAGATTAGTGGTAGTGGAAGCTCTTTAATGGATAAAAATTTAAACCTATTCAAAGATCTGAAGCCTCCGATGTTTCAAGTAGTAAACCAATAGGGGCAGAAGATTGGGTGATGAGAATAGAGAAGATTCTGGAGGGTATGTCCAACCCTGAAGATAGAAGGATTACTCTCGCTGCTTTTTCCTTTAATGTTGAGGAAAAAAGATGGTGGCAATCCAACTACAACAGACTTTTGGAGAGCGATCTAGTAGTCAAGTCTCATGGAGAGAGTTTTTAAAAGTGTTCTGGGATTGGTATGTACTAATGTCAGGTAAAAGACAGATGCAAGATAAATTCAACAGATTAATACAAGTTGATAGAACTATTACTCAGTATGAGTCCGAGTTCACTAGACTTTCCAGGTATATATGCCTCCCATCTGATACTCAATGCAGAAGACAAAATGTCATCGTTTCTTATCTGGTTTGAAGGATAACATTAGACAACCTTTGATTCATTTTGGCATTGAGGATTATCCTACTCTAGTAGAGAGGGCCCAAAGGATTGAGTCAGATTTGCAAGCTATTCAGAAGATAAGGAACCAACATAGAAGGAAGAGTTTTGAAAAGGATATTCAAAGCAATCAGACTAGAGGATCAAATGAGAAGAAACCCAAGATTAGCCCTAGTGGAGTTAGTGGTGCAACTATTAGTAAAGTTATAGAAGCTTGTGCTAAATGTGGCAGATTGCATAAGAGTGAATGTTTGATTGGCTCCAACACTTGCTATTGGTGTCATCAGCCTAGCCACATAGCAAAATATTGTCTTGTATTGGTTCAAAAGGCTTCAGAAGAAATGAAATCAAGGGAAGTACCTTCACAGAGGACCTTTAGCAAACAAAAGATGATAGAACTATCAGTTGTAGGTTTAGTGCAAAATAAATCCAGGAAGAATGTTTGACTACAAGTTTACACTTTGACTCAGCAGGAGTTCAATGAATCCATAGATGCTGACAAGGATAGTTGAGATGGCTTTACTATCTATTTTTTTAGTGACTTGTAATGTTAAATATGATGTTTTGGATTTAGTAGGTTATCTTGTTATGATATATAAAAAGTTTAATTTATTCTGTTCTAATGTTGAAGTTTATATTAAATGAAATGGAAGATGTTGGTTGATTGTGTAACTAAAAGTTGTACGTAAATTTCGAAGACGAAATTTTCTTAGGAGGGCAGAATTGTAAAAATAAAAAAATGTCAATTTTAGACATCACACACTTTTCAATGTGCCGCGATAAGATTTAAGTTAATTTTTCAAAATCATCAAAATTTGGCGAAAATAATTTTATAAAATTCTACGCAAAATTTCGAACATAACAGTATAAATAACTTCTATGAAATTTTGCTTATATTTGAAATTAAAAATCATGAAAGATTCATAATACTTAAAATTACCCCTAGTGAGTATTAAAGATGATATATTTTAAGTGAGGGCAAATAAGATATTATGCATTAACCCTCCTCTTAATAGGGGACCGAAATTCATTCGGTCCCCATTATTTTGTTCGGCCGAAACCGAACGTAAGAAGAGGCGCGTGCGGAAGGGAGAGGAAGGCGCCGGGTTAGTCTTCGGGCAGTGGTGGTAAGGCGGTTTTCGGGGAAGCTTCTTGCGAGAAATCAAAGAGGGAAGTCAAAGGAAATCTAAGGTATGTTCCTAAACTTATAAATCTTCATTTCCCCTTAGATTTTTGGAAAAAAAAAATTAGGGTTTCTCTAAAAATTGATATTTTTCAAAAAGAATGTTTGAGTAGATCTAAAAATATTTTCTAATTATGAAATTTGTATTTTCCTCAATAAATATTCAACTTCAAAATTTAAGATTTTTGTCGAATGTTAATTTTTATGGAAAGATCTTAATATGTATTATCCCAAATGATAATACGGGGTTTTTAATGATAGAAATTAGGGTTTTTC